GGTGAGGAATCCCAAACCACACAGTGATACTGGGAAAGGCTGGGTTTTTTCCTGATCCCATTCCCAGATCGTGTCCAGGTGAGGGATCCCACCCCATATGGGGACACTGGCAATGTCCAGATCCTGATCCCGTTCCCATTAAGGGGGGAACCAGCAGGTGAGGGATCACACATTACACAGGGATCCTGGAAAAGGCTGGATTTTGGCCTGATCCCATTCCCATTAAGTGGAGAACCAGCAGGTCAGGGATCCCAAATCACACAGGGACACTGGGAATGTCTGGATCCTAATCCCATTCCCGTTATGTGGGCACCAGCAGGTGAGGAATCCCAAACCACACAGGGATACCGGGAATGTCCGGATCCTGATCCCATTCCCAGAGGGTGTGCAGGTGAGAGATCCCACCCTACACAATCGGAATGTCTGGATCCTGATCCCATTCCCATTAAGTGGGGAACCAGCAGGTGAGGGATCCTAAAACACGCAGGGACACTGGGAATATCCAGAAACTGATCCCATTCCCAGAGAGTGTCCAGGTGAGGGATCCTACACCACACAGGGATCCCAGGACTGTTTCAGATCCTGATCCCATTCCTATTAAGTGGGGAACCAGCAGGTGAGAGATCCCATATTGCACAGGGATCCTGGCAAAGGCTGGATTTTACCCTGATCCCATTCCCAGAAGGGGTCCAGGTGAGTGATCCCAAACCACACACGGACACTTGAAATGTCTGGATCCTGATCCCGTTCCCATTATGTGGGAACCAGCAGGTGAGGGCTCCCAAAACTCACAGGGATACCGGGAATGTCCGGATCCTGATCCCATTCCCAGAGGGTCTTCAGGTGAGAGATCCCACCCTACACAATGGGAATGTCTGGATCCTGATCCCGTTCCCATTAAGTGGAGAACCAGCAAGTGAGGGATCCCAAATCGCACAGGGACACTGGGAATGTCCGGATCCTGATCCTGTTTCTGTTCCCAGAGGGTGTGCAGGTGAAGGCTCCCACACCACCCACAGACACCAGCAATGTCCTGATCCCATTCCCATTAAGTGGAGAACCAGCAGGTGAGGGATCCCAAATCACACATGGACACTGGGAATGGCTGGATCCTGATCCCATTCCCATTCCCAGAGGGTCTCCAGGTGAGGGCTCCCACCCCACACACAGACACCAGCAATGTCCTGATCCCATTCCCATTAAGTGGGGAACCAGCTGGTGAGGGATCCTAAAACACACAGACACCGGCAATATCCTGATCCCGTTCCCAGAGGGTGTCCAGATGAGGGGATCCCACCCCACACACGGACACTGGGACTGTCCGGATCCTGATCCCGTTCCCATTCCCAGAGGGTCTCCAGGTGAGGGCTCCCACCCCACACAGGCACACTGGGAATGGCCAGATTTTGATCCCATTCCTAATCCCAGAAGGTGTTCAGGTGGGAGATCCCAAACTACACAGGGACACTGGGAGTGTCCAGATCCTAATCCCATTCCCAGAGGATGTCCAGGTGAGGAATCCCATATTGCACAGGGATCCTGGCAAAGGCTGGATTTTGGCCTGATCCCATTCCCAGAAGGGGTCCAGGTGAGGAATCCCAAAACACACAGGGAGACTAGGAATGTCAGGATCCTGATCCCATTCCCAGAGAGTGTCCAGTTGAGGGGATCCCACCCCATATAAGGACACTGGGACTGACGGGATCCTGATCCCGTTCCCAGAGGGTCTCTAGGTGAGGGCTCCCACCCCATATATGGACACCATATAGCAATATCCTGATCCCATTCCCATTAAGTAGGGAACAGCTGGTGAAGAATCCCAAAACACGTAGGGAGACCGGTAATGTCTGGATCCTGATCCTGTTCCCATTCCCAGAGACTGTCCAGGTGAGGGCTCCTACCCCACACACGTACACCGGCAATATCCTGATCCCATTCCCATTAAGTGGAGAACCAGGTGAGGGATCCCACACCACACAGGGACACTGGGACTGTCCGGACCCTGATCCCATTCCCAGAGGGTGTCCAGATGAGGGGCTCCCACCCCACGCAGGGACATCAGCAATACCCTGATCCCATTCCCATTAAGTGGGGAACCAGCAGGTGAGGGATCCCAAAACACACAGGGAGACTGGGAATGTCTGGATCCTGATCCCATTCCCAGAGGGTCTCTGGGTGAGGGATCCCACACCACACAGGGACATCAGCAATATCCTGGTCGCCTTCCCATTAAGTGGGGAACCAGCAGGTGAGGGATCCTAAAACACACAGGGAGACCGGGAATGTCCTGATCCCATTCCCATTAAGTGGGGAACCAGCAGGTGAGAGATCCTAAAACACACAGGGAGACCGGGAATGTCTGGATCCTGATCCCATTCCCGTTCCCAGAGGGTGTCCAGATGAGGGATCCCACACCACACAGGGACATCAGCAATATTCTGATCCCATTCCCATTAAGTAGGGAACCAACAGGTGAGGGATCCTAAAACACACACAGACACCAGCAATATCCTGATCCCATTCCCGTTACGTGGGAACCAGCAGGTGAGGGATCCTAAAACACACACAGACACCAGCAATATCCTGATCCCATTCCCGTTACGTGGGAACCAGCAGGTGAGAGATCCTAAAACACACAGGGACACC